TTCTCTTCATCTCCTCGCGGCCAGTCTTATTAACCGTCCGATAAGAAATCAGTAGAACTGGATACAACTTGGCATTCTTCAGGCTCCTGACAGTTAAGAAACAAAATTTCCTATCTACGCACCATGCTTGCCATAGACTTGGGGTTGGTAACAAAAGTTAAGCTAGCAAGATTTCATAAGTAGCAGTATAGCTATGCTCATCTAGAACCATTTCTTTAGATCTCAAGTTTATGAACAGCTCTAATGTTGGCTCACAACATTGTAAACCACGTACTCAAACCTGCTTTGGCTCTTTATTTCGTATGAAAGCTTGCGTGGAGGAAAGTCGGCCTCATATGAAAGGAAACAAAGCCTATTTTGAGTCAAGATAATCGGCGCCCTTAATTTACTGAAGCTTCCAAAGCAAAAATTTCCTCCCCAATAAGGCTTGTTGATGAATAAAAGCCCCATTTCGCCCGACATGATAGGGAATGATGGTTGCCAGTGCTTGCATCAGGCAAATAAGCGGGATTCGCACCTCAATTCAGGACCTTATGAATAAGGGCTGTCACAATTGCGACAGCATGATACCAACATTTGGGTGGGTAATAACCTACGCTAAAAGGACTTTGCTTTGACTGGCGCCATCATGGCTGCATAATTAAAATCAGCCAAGTTTGGCAATACTGCTGAGTCTAACTGGTAAAGGACCAATTAAGATAAGCCAGGAGGATGACAAAATCTACAGTTAAAAGACAATGTATGAGATATTTTGAAAATTCTTTTAAATTTCCAAGGGAACTACTATAATCGCTTGATAATAGGCAGCTTCGGTTGTCGTTGGTCACGGCTATTGCCCCTCCCAGTGAGGCTCCGTCCACTGATTCCACTGAAACCGTCTGCCGGCCTCAGACGTTTTAGCCTGATTGACATCTGGCCACAACTGCCCTCCAGACAGTTATCTACCTCTAGACATGCGAAACAAAGGGGGTTTGCACTGTCGTCATCCTGTCACGGTCGAAGCTTCCTTATGCCGGCATTTCCGGCTTTATATAAACGAGGAGTAGCAGAGCTTCGAGGAATCTTTTAGGATATTATTATTGTGGAAACTTCCATTTCGTATAAAAGTGGCTGATGAAGAGATTCGTTTGTTAATCTCATCAGAAGACGATGGTTGACTCCCATTGTTCTACAGCCGTTTTGGCTTTAATACCACGTTCATGTTGACGCACGAGACATCCTCCCTCGTTTCGGGTGAAATCAGAGCTGTAGCTCGATTTTCGCAAAAGTCCTAAATTAACACTAAATCAAGAAGACTAGCTGGCTCTGTCTTACCTCTCATATATACGCATAATGAAAAAGCGAAAATATTTAGTTATTAGGTGCTATAGTTAATCTTTCATATTAGCGATAATACATTTACTTAAGTTTGTCTGTGTGTGTGTATGTGTGTGTGTGCTAACGTGTGCAATAACGATCCTAAAATAGAGATCCAGAGTGTACACCAGAGCCTGTAGGACTCCTTGAACAGGAATGTATGTGTACATAGATACAACATCATAACTTACTAGCTCACCTTCTGAAGTTATCTGATGATCAAGTTAACTTACAAATTCACAAGAATTTTTAACTGAATATGGCCAAAAGTCAGAAGCTTTCCTAATTGTAGGCACAAAAACATGAG